TTCCCAGGTGCATCACTGCTGACACCTTCCTAATGGATTTCAGACAGGATCCAGGTGCTGCAAATGAGAGGCTGGCTATTTTATCCTTTGAGATAAAGAAAAAGACCTAAGTCATTTTGTGATTCTATGATTCCGAGTTGCAAGAAAACCAGTACTTAGGTCAGCTCCTTCTCTCAGGAGAAGAGTATCAATTTTGTGACATATGTAGTCCTCTGAAAGAGAAATTTCCATGAGTAAGTCTCACATGCTTCTGTGCAATAAACACACGCTCAGTGTTCGGGTATTTACAGAGTATTTCACAGTAATTGCAGCAGTGTGTTGGTTCAATGTGCTTCTATGCAGGTGAACAGTTTTTAAATAGAGCAGCTGAATTCTTTGGATTTTTATAAGAATATTAAGGATTTTAGCTGGAATTTTTATGCCTAACTGTCAGCAAGATCACAAGCTCTCTGTATGTTCTTCGTACAGATTTATAAATATGGGAGCTGTCTCAAGTGTGAGTATGTCATGCCGAAGTCACTGAATCTTCCCATGTTAATGTATTTGTGCTATTATCAAGTCAGAAGGAATGGAATAAGGGATCTGTGCTTAGAGATTGTTGAAAGTCCACACAAGTTATTGTGTATAGTTTCAAAGGAAATTACAGTGCTTACATGGAATGAAGGTATTTGGCTATGAACACATTCTCAGAATATTTAAGTTAGTAAATTTCAGAACCTGATACTTATCACTCATATCCTGTAGCTTTTAAAATATCAAGGGCTCAACCCAATATTATATTAAATATTCTCTAGAAATGTTGTGACATCCTGGGACTTACCTGAATGTATTGTGTTCCTAATGGCCACTGAGACAGTTCAGATCAGTTAATAGTCTTATAGTCTCCAGACAATTTTAAGCCATAGTTCAGGAATTAGTATGGGTCAGAACAGTATGGTTGCGTTTCAAACAGATGTTTTGTGTGTATCAAATTTTTGTATGCAGAAAAAAAATATTACCCTACTTTGATAGAAGATAAATATTCAATCAATGGAGACACTTGTCAAAATATTTCAATGTAGGGAGCACTATGGAGGATCCAAGAGTCAGAAATCAGTACCCATCAGACTAATAGTATTAATTTGGAAATGTTGCTAGCCAAAAATATAACCTGTTGAAGCTAAAATATTACATAGACAATTGTTTATTTCAGCAAAAAATGTTTTCTATTTTTATAAATGTTTTATGCCTCTTATTTTCTTTGCAAGCAAAAATATAAATCTTTTTTCCAATTCCTGATATGAAACAAAATTTCCAGTGTCAAATTGGCATTTGCCCTTCCATGTTAGGTCTTAATTACATTTGAAATTTCATTTGAAATATTGAGTCAAATATTCAACTGTTCTTAAAGTAATGATATGTTAAATTTCAGTCAATTTTGAAAAATAAATTTAGAGCATATTGGCATCTGCAAAATGCCTATCTTTTTCAATTTTGTTCTAATCTGAAAGAATGACAATTCTTGTAGTACTGGAAATTTCCGAAGAGCAACATGCCCTTGTATAACCTGGAAAACAATTTTATTTCCCCCAAGCTCCACTGTTTCTTTTTCATGAAGTACAAGCCTAGAGGAGGTTTTCATCACATTCAATTACTAAAAGCAAGTCTGAGGTTTTGATTGCACAAGCTTGATCCTCTGGTTCCAATAAACCTAGGCATTGTTTGGCTCTGCATAGCTGAAACTAGACTTCAAGAAAATCTTCATTCCTATTTAGGCACTTAAATAGCTGATGGATTTTGAGAAAAAATCAACTCTTATTGTGATACTGATGGTCAAATTTTTAAGAGAGAAGTGAGGTAGACGTTTAACAAACGTCTGTCTGTAGTAAAAGAACTTTCTATTAAAACCAACTGTAGTTGCTTTTGTTACAAAAACCTAGCTATAGACCTATTCATAGATAGCCATGAAGGAGTTTAAACAGGCTCCCAGGTGAAAAATGAATCATTAACCATAAAATACTAAAATAGAGCTGGATAAGCAGCTAAAATATGTGCTTGGCAGCAGACATGTCTGGAATTTTGTTGGGTTGTTTTCACTTCTCTTTCTCCTTGCTGCATCTGTCTGTGGTGGGAGATGAGGTGACAAAATCATTACAGAAAAACACAGAGCAGAGTAACACACAGGCAAAACAGTTTCCTCCTTTTTCTCCCCTGGTGCTGGCCACACAGCCACCTCAGCTGTGATCATTGGGCTAGTAATTGAAAAATGGAGGAGCGTACAGATGCTAGAAAACCCCGAGGATGGGAAATATGGGTATTGGCATTTCTTCCTCTGTGTGTATGTGTGTTTACATACAGAAAGGGCATACTCTTTCTTATAGTTACGGTTTTTTCCTCTATCCTTGCCCCTATAATTACTTTTGCAGGCAACAAATCACTTTATAACATATTATTTATGCTTCCACATTTAGTGGCATTTCCTACGACTGTTTGCAGATCCTGCTTAACTCATATTTTGTCATCCATTCTATTTCTCTCCCTCCCTTCATCCCTCAAAGCATACAGCCTTCTTCGATATTAACACAACTCTTCACCTTTCTTAGACAAAGACAATTGCATTATTCTTGAAAATATTTGGCTCTCTGACTGTGCCTTTGTATTGCTTACTCAGCAATATGCACAAAGATTCTGCTGTCATGTTATGTCTGGCACATACATAAACCTGTACAGCAATTACCTGAAAAACTTCTTGCAGAAATGTTGAAAAAGTCTGTGTTACTGTTTGTTCAAAGAGATAGGCAAAATAGAATGCAACTTAGAGGCTGAGAAAGAAACAGAAATTCCTTCCCTTCTGTGCCACAAATGCTGATCGCATTTATCAGTTCCAGCCTTCCACAAGTCCTTGTATCCTTTGATTTTTTTTTAAATTCATCTTTGTCACCCCAGGTTCTCTTACTGAGGCTTACCAGTGCTCTTCTTGCTCTTTGAATGTCACCTGAAAGTGGTTACTGCTACCAAAGATTGTCTGGTATTTGAAAATTCAACCCAAGTGATGTTGCTGAGAAAGGTTGATCATACACTGCCTGTGACACAGGCCTACGAGCTACTGATTAAACACTCTAAAAATGTCAGATTAGTTTTGCTAGTTCATTGTGCTGATTCTTCAGACTGGCTGTGTCCTGATGAGCTTCTCCCCTTTTTTCTCCTGTCATTTCAGGATGGCACCCTCAGCAAATTCACAGACAACATGAAGCTGAGAGGGAGTATTGATCTACTGGAGGGCAGGAAGGCTCTGCTGAAGGATTGGACAGGCTGGATTGATGATCTGAGGCCAATTGCATGAGGTTCAACAAGACCAAGTGCCAGGTCCTGCCCTTGGGTCACAAGAACCCTGGGCAGTGCTACAGGCTGGGGACAAGTGGCTGGAAAGCTGCCTGGGGGAAAAGGATCTGGGGGTGCTGGACAAGAGTCAGCTGGACATGAGCCAGCATGTGCCCAGGTGGCCAAGAATGCCAATGGCATCCTGCTTGGATCAGAAATAGTATGACCAGCAGGACAGAGATTGTCCCCCTGTACTGGGCACTTTTGAGGCCACACCTCGGGTGCTTTGTTCATTTTTGGGCCCCTCCAGACCAGAAAGACCCTGAGGTGCTGGAGCAAGTCCAGAGAAGGCCAGTGGAGCTGGGTAAGGGTCTGAGCACAAGTCCAATGAGGAGCAGGTGAGGGAGCTGGGGTTTAGCTTGGAGGAAAGGAGGCTCAGGGAAGATGCCATCACACTATACAACTACCTGACAGGAGGTTGTTGCCAGGTGGAGGTTGGTCTCTTCTCCCAGGTTACAAGTGACAGGATGAGAGAGGGGAAGTGGCCTTAAATGGCCTCCCTGCACCAGAAAGGTTTAGATTGGATATTAGGAGAATTTTTTTCACTGAAAGTGTTGTCAAGGGTTGAATTAAGCTGCCTGGGGAAGTGGTGGGGTCACCATTCCTGGAAGCGTTCAAAATACGTGTGGATGCAACGCTTGAGGACATGGTTTAATGGTGAGCATGGTGGTGGTGCTGGGTTAATGGTTGGACTTTATGATCTTAAAGGTCTTTTCCAACCCTAACAAATTTATGATTCTATGGTATGGAATAGTTCCACAATAACAGAGGAAAACAGACACTTACTGTTTTAGTTGTTAGTCAGGTAGCAGAAATGAAGGTGCCAGGACACAAGTTATTGATAAATAGATCAGAAGAAATATCCAACATCAGTGGACTACTGTCTACCCCTATTGCAAAATCTTTAAGATTGTACAAGTGAATATAGACTAAACTTTGTCCTGGAATGTGCTCTAATAAATGTTTGTTTCATCTTGAGGATGAAGCAAGCATACTCCTATTGAAAATAAAAACCAAACCAAACAAACAAAAAAAGCAGAAAAAAAATAAAAAACAGCCAAAAAACCCCTCAAAAACAGCAACTCTGTATACCGATGTAGCAAAGAATGGGATAGGAAGATAAGAAATATATATAATTTCATAGTTTAAAAATCAGTAGGGTTTTACTGAAAAGGAGTATACATTCACCAGTTTGAAAGGGTACCTGATTACCTAAATTGCATGTACAAGCTTTCTTACAGCCTTCAGATACATAAAATTTCAATAGCATACATTTCTGCAAAGTTTCATAAATTGGATGCTAGCTTCTCAATCAAGAGGGAAAAAACTCTGCTCTAAACTCATTTTGGAATAGGTCGAAGACCTGAAAGCCTGTTCAAACCTTTAGAAGACTGTATTTATAGAAGGGATGGACAAATATTCAGTTTGCAAAGAGATGTGATATTATTTCTGCTTACAGTGTTTTATTTCCCTCTGACACAGAGTGGTTTATCACTTCATATAGAGTCATAGAATCATAGAATATGCTGAGTTGGAAGGAACCCATCCAGGATCATTGAGTTCAACTCCTGTTCCTGCACAGAACCATTCCCAAGAGTTCTGTGCCTGAGAGCATTGTCCAAATGCTTCTTGAACTCAGACAGGCTTGGTGCTGTGATCACTTCCCTGGGGAGCCTGCTGTGTATGATTAATGATTAAGTGGGGAGGAGAAGAGGATGGATGGATGGATGAATGGATGTTAGTTTGAACTACCCCATACAGGAGTAGGAGTGTTTACCTGACTGCTCTCTGTCAGGAGTTGAGGGAAAAGTGAACAAATTGGAATGGGAATGTTTCCAGCTAGCAGAGTTAATCTCTGAAGATATGAGGTAAGAGTTTCATAGTCTTTTGCATGACAAAATAAGTACACATCTGTATAGCAGCTCAATTTCACCAAGTCAGGTCTACCTGTGAGTTTGCAGAGATATTTTTTTGTGCTTGCATGGTACACCAATCTGCAGCACAGCTTGTAGGTTCAGATCCAAAATCTGTCAAATATGATCAAATGCTTTGGGATAGAGGTCAGACATGAAATACTCATATTATTCATTATATACTTTTACCTCACAATAGTTTCAGATATTGTCAGTGCTTTTTATAACTCTGAAACATGTGATCAAAACAAAGAGGTCATCATCATGGCTAGGCTTCGCAAACGAAGATTTGGGAAGGGCTCTACCCACATTTGGTGCAAGCGCGCTGGTGGCTAAAAAGGCCGATACGAGATAGGCATGTCCGGTTGCAAAAGGCACAGCAGAAATACTCCTTAGGTGGTATATTCTGCAAGGCTCGATTCTTTCTGCGTTGTCTTTTCTCCTCAAGGGTGATCCTGCGTGCTTTCTCAAAGGCATCAGCAGCGTTATAGATGGTGTGTCTCCAGGCCTCCCGATTTGAGGCCAGAGTAAACCAGTTATGGTGGTCAGTATGCCTGAGGCTGAGATGTTGTTTCACAGAGTCCTTGTATCTTTTCTTCGGGGCTCCCCTCTTGCGGCAGCCAGTGGCAAGTTCACCATAAAGCAGGATCTTAGGGAGACGGTGGTCCTTCATCCTGGAGACGTGAAACGAAGAGGTAGGACAGGTGTCCTGGTTAGAACAGCTGGGACCAATTCATCACTGGATGGGTGTAACCCAAACCTGTGTATCCTATAGCCTTCCATGCCATTTCCCAGAAACTGTTATCAATAGAGCATTTACACCCTCTGCCCAGAGCAACCTGACTGCTCAGGCTATAAACTAGGCATTAAGAGGCCTGTGAGATAGGAAGATGTTCCTGTCCTCATGCCCTTTTATGGAATTCCCCGCTCTGAGGGAAAGACTGAGCATTCCTGCCTGAACTGGAGAATATGTAAACTTGGAGTTTTGGAATCTTTTTACCACTCGTGGGATCCAGAGGAAGACTGCAGCTCACCGCTCTCAACCAGACTGAGACCACCACCCTCCACTGGACTGCAATCACCACTTTTTGACCAGATTGCAACAGCTCTCCCACCAGCAGGTTTTTCCCCTCTCCCTTTACTTTGGACTCAGGGTGGGGGGGGCCGAGGAACACCACTTTTGTTCATGCCCCAGGGTGCTGGATTATACATTTGGGTTTTGTGGGTCAAAACCAATTGTCTGTCTGTATAATTGTACTTATTGTATTATTGTAATAAATTGTTATTCTGATTTATAATCTCTCTTTTGAGTTGAGTTCATTTCCCCTGCTGGTTAACTTTTAAACCAGCACAACAGGAATATCTGTCCTTTGGACATTTTTCTTCAGTTTTCTTTTTTTTTCTGATTCATGTGTTCAGACACCCGTACGGCCTCACCTTCCTAAGTATTTTTGCTCTCTGAAATGAGTATTGCTGACTGCATAGGTGAGATGCAGATTGTGAACTCTTTATGCAGTGAACTGTATTTATGCTTTGGTCACTGGGTCTGTCATTTCCACAGGCAGATACTTGTGATGTCAAAAGTAATGACAGGACTTATTGGCAATGCCTGCAGCAAGCTTACAGTCTAAGAAAAATGGTCAGATTTTTGTCAATTGCTGCAACTGGTCTGGCAAAGATAAATTACACATTTTTGCTGAATTACCTTTGTTTCACTAGGCAATACTCCTTTTACTGAATTTTTCATGATGAGCAAAATAATGTGTCTTTAATTTTTTATTATTTTCCAGATCTTTTTTCTTTGTTGATTTTGTAAAGCAGCTGCTCAGATTATAAGCTATCCATCCATATAATGGCCTTTCACACTTTCTTAAGGTTTAAGCACTTTTTATATCTGCTCTTCATTGTCCTCAGCTTGGCCTGCTTTAAGCTGGACCCCTAGGGAACAAAGTGCTTCATAAACAATCTTTTTTAGTATTCAATTCCTTATCATATGTCCCCTTTAGGACTTCATTTTATATTTCTCTCCAGCAGAAAACAGTAATAGATTCTGTAAATCTCCTTTTATAATATCTTCTATTTATTGCACACATCTAATGGAGCTGCATGTCATACTCCAGTTACTTTGGAGCGCGTGTTTAATAACCTGCTATATATTAGAAAACAAACATTGATCTAAGAGCCTTTGCTCTTCACCATTGTAGTTAGCTACATTAGTAAAGCAGAAAATGCTCTTTTATGTGAGCACATGTTCAAAATTGGACAGGTATAATAAATATTACTGTGTTAATAAAAATCCCACACAGAAGTAGCTCTGCAGCGTTTAACATCCTGCTTTGCTGAGGCTGCTGAGCTCTTTGGGCTGGAAGTCAGCTTAAAGAAGACTGAAGTTTTCTATCAACCTGCACCTCAGGAAGTCTTCCATCATCCCCATATCACCATTGGCGAATCAGAGCTCAAATCAGTCCAGCAGTTTAATTGCCTGGGAAGCATCATCTCCTCGGATGGTAAGATCAACGGAGAGATAGACAACAGGTTAGCAAAGGCATATAGTGCTTTTGGAAAGCTTCATAAAAGAGTTTGGTGAAATAAACACTTGAAGAAAAGTACAAAGATCAGTGTTTACAGAGCCATTGTGCTGTCTACTCATTTATATGGGTCCGAATCATGGGTCATTTACCGCCACCACCTGCGACTCCTAGAACGCTTCCATCAACACTGCCTCCGTACAATCCTAAATGTCCACTGGTCAGATTATGTGACCAATACATCTGTTCTAGAACAAGCAGCAGTCACAAGTATTGAGGCCATGTTGCTGAGAACACAGCTGCATTGGGCAGGGCACGTCTCCAGGCTGAAGGACTACTGCCTCCCTAAGATTGTGCTCTATGGTGAACTTGCCACCGGCTGCCGCAAGAGAGGAGTCCCGAAGAGGAGATACAAGGACTCCCTGAAACAACATCTCAGCCTTGGCCATATTGATCATCATCATTGGTCTACTCTGGCCTCCAATTGGGAGGTCTGGAGACACACTGTCCATAATGCTGCTTCTTTTGAGAATGCACACAGGATCACTCTAGAGGAGAAAAGACAACATAGAAAGAACCATGTCCTGTTGATACCATCCAAGGAGTCTTTCTGCTGTGCCTTTTGCATTGGCCTTTTTAGCCCCAGTGCACTAGTAGCAAGTGTGGGTAGAGTCCTTCCCAAATCTTTGTTCGCGAAGCCTAGCCATGATGATGATGAATAAAAATCCTTAATGTCCCAGCACTCTTTTCTGTCTGTAGCTGTTTTTAACAATGGAACAAGTAATTCCTTACTTTATGTGTCTTGGAAAAGGGTAGTTTTGTGAGCATTTTGAGGTAAGCAGGACTGTAGTATTTATGAACAATCTACATTCACAAAACCTGCAATGTAATGAGAAATCTCATGTAGTGACTTAAAGGATTTGGAGAAAATAATTGTCTTCCAAATAATTAGCTTATCCATACATAACCATTCCCCCTTTTCCCATTCTTAGTTATATTACCTAAACACAGACATACACACACACTACAGCATTAATTCAGTAGCTTTCTATGTGAATATGCAACAGGAATTAAAACTACCTAAGAAACCTACGTATTTCACTGAGCTATAATTTCCACTTTTTTCTATTTCTTATCAAACAAATAAACTGGCAGTCCATTCCATATAGAGTAAGGCACTCCTGTGTTCCACATTCACTAAAAACTTTGTCTACTTGTTTGGTGACTAATGAAGATAGAAAAATATCTATATTCTGCCAAATTTGTATTTTACTTTCTGTTCCTGAGCATTTAGTATGAAGAGGATTCAACAGGACAGAATAAGAAATGGACAAGAAAAGACCAAGGTCCTCCATGAAGTTTAGCCTTGCAGATAATAACCATTCTTTCCTCCCCTGAAGAAAACTTTTTTTTTTAAATTATTTTTTGTTACATTATGTATTTTAAACTTAATCAAACACTAGAAATTGGATTTGGGTTTCTGAGTGTGAGCTTCTGTTGGGTAATCTTCAAAATTAGGAATTAACATAAATCTGCAGTACTGATGCCTTATCATGATGGACAATATTTTGTCTTTGTATCTACATTACCAAAACCATGGTATTCCAAAATATGTTTTTAAAATAATACAATACATAGAAGTACACATATGCTAGGCAAATATTTAGTGCCATTGGATGAACTTTAAAGATTGTTTTTATGTTTGATCCTATTCCCAAGTGTTCTTAATTGTTTGTAAATTGCACCTTTTTCAGTTGTCTTTTATTTTAATAGCAAATACCATAAAGCTACATAATGTCTGTCATGGAATTTCTTGATACAAAAAAATCATTCCCGGTAGAATGAAACATCATAAACTGTGCATAAAATTATCTCTAGTTTTCTTTGGCTTTCAGCTTGATTAAACTCTATTGCAATGGAAATTTGTTGTAGATAAGTTTCTGCTTTTAGCCTGTCTTTCTAAGGGAACAAATGTCATGACCACATTATCTGCACGAGAACAAAAATCTTTCTACTAACCTCTCCTAATAATAAAAGATGCTGGCCCATTTCATCTAGATGTGGCAGACAGAGAGGGAGTTCTCAGAGGCATTATCTTCCTATACATTACAAATAGAAGGAAAAAAGTGGGAGTAAGATAGAGAAGAGAGACCTTAGAATTGTGCAGGATGGCACATTGGAAACCAGAATGTGTAAATTCCACTGAATATGGAATTGCTTTTTTTATTTCACCAAATTAGCAGTGCATGTTCCTATAAAACTGCCAAAGCTGTCATTATGTATGTAAAACCCTCTCCTGAAGAAATTGGGAAAAAACATTGTGCACAGCAGCTATGTTGACTTTTGTGAGCACAGCAGGTACGCAGACCTTTGAAGACAGTTTTATTCCTGTGAAACTGTTAGGCTTCCTAGTCCTATCATTTTAGGTTTTGTGCATGATTAAAATCTCAACAGCTTTTCAGTTCCAAAATAATTTCAAATTATAATTTTGTGTAAACGTGGAGTTTTAAATTATTTTCTTTTAGACCCATACTTCCAATGTAATTATTGTTCAGTAAAGAAGATTCTTAAGAAGTGGAAACAAATTTTAGTTACTTTAATAATTCACTGTGCTGTGGTCTGAAATAAACATCAGACTTTTTGCAAAGGCCCATATCCAACAAGTACACAGGGATTGTTTATCTAAAATGAAAGATGTTTATTCAAAGATAATGTATGAATGTGATAACAGACTGTGCTCCTTGTGGGCAATCTGACATGGCAGAAGAATAATTTAGTTCTGATATATTAGCCATAAAATTTGGCCAAGAACATAGAATATATTGTAGGTACAGTAATACACAATGTTAGCAGCATTGCATGAGGCTGTAAAATAGACTAGATTAGAATAGTTCAGTTGGAAGGGATCTGAAATGACAATCTGGTCCAACTGCCTGACCAATTCAGGGCTGACCAAAAGTTAAAACATGGTATTAAAGGCATTATGCAAATGCCTTTTAAACACTGACAGGCTTGGGACAGTGACCACCTCCCTAGGAAGCTGAAACTGCCTGTCTACACACACTCTACAGATCACACTGACTACAGGTCACACTCAGTATTTAATGTTTACTTTACAGCTGGAGTAGATTTTCTTCCCTTTTTCTTTCCAGTCCTGCTTTTTTCCAATCTTTTATTTAGTTATCTCATTTTTTTTCCTGAGGTAGTAGGTGATGGAGGTTCAGTCACTCTCCTGATACAGTTTTCCAATGCCAGCTGACACTTCTAGGAAATGCTGTGTTCATGGTGGACTTTGCCCAATTTCACTTTCCAACCATTTCATGTTAGTATGAATTTCCCTTAAACACTAAAAATCCTCACATAATCAATGATCTTTTCCATGTCCAACATACTTGTCAAGTTACTTCAAAACCCTTTTTAGAGAAATTGAGTAGATTAAACATTAATATCTTAATTTTTTTTCCTAATTCTTTTACTACATTTGCAGTTTTTTGTTTGAACTCTTTTTGTTATTTCTACTTCATCACAAAATGTAGATGCCAGAAAGGTCAGTTTACAGAGGTAAAACTACATTTCTCCCTTTTCTTATTACACCAAGTGTTCATGTTGAGTCCTTTACCTCTGACAGTCCTCTAGTTTCCAAAAAATCTGATTCTCACACTACTTATATTGTAATTTGTTTGTACTTGCTTCGACTCCCTTGCCTGCCCCACAGGTCTCTGATTTGCAGGCTAGTCCAGCTTGAAGTTTGCTGGTGATAACACATGCACCACATGCCCACCAGTTTTGGGGAGGACCCTGACATTCACACTCCAGCAACAGACACCACACACGCACAGGCTGTGACTGGTTAATCATTTGGCCATTCAGAACTAAATTTTATTTAATCTGAAAGTATTATTAACAAAACTAATTTCTTAAAATGCTTTAACTATCTTTGATTTCACTAAGTATATGCTTATGTAAAAAAAAAAAAATCAGTGTTGAAGGAATTGATAGTAGAAAATTCTAGTTTAACATGTTAAAACAGATTATTGGAAAAAATAATTATTTCCATCTTCATTTAGTTTATCCAACAGAAAGGCAGAAAGAAAAAGGGAAGAAAATAGTCAGATCTAGCAGACCCAGAAGAGGAAAAACAAGCCCTGATAAAGATACAAGCCTTCACTTTCGCTTTGATTTTTCAGATTCATGGCGGTCTTTCAGAAGGCCTTTCCTTTGCAGATTTCCTTTCCCTCCCTTCCTTTGTAATTTCCTTTGTACACATGGCTAATAAACACAATCTGGGCTGGTTTTCGTCACTCTTCTACATTGCACAGCCTTCATCCTTTCACTTAAATGTATTTTACCTCCTAAACAGATTAGCAAGCTATCTATTGGAATCAGTTTTGAGTCCATTCTAACTCCTAAGCTGGGTCTGAGAATTTTCTGGAACAGAGTTTCTGGTCTCCTAAAATTGCCTATGAAGATTTTAACGGTATGTCAGAATAGCTTTTTGAGTTTTATTATTTAAATACTACCTGACATTGCTCAATTCATAGCATAGATTAAGTTCTGCTGAAATTCCCAGTACCATCTATCAATAAGATAATGGGTGGAGTGTAGGAGCCAACACCTGGTAGTCTTCAGACATTTCTGCCAAACATTAGCTATCAAAAGCTTAATGCCATGAGCTAGTGTCCTCACAAAGCACAAGTTTGAGAGGAATTTGCCCTGCTTGGAGGAAATAAGAATTTGTCCTTACTCCTCAGGACCAACTCTGCCATCAGAGCTGATGCTGCTGTGGTCAGGGCTGGGCTAGAGATGTCCTGAGGCCTCTTCCAGCCTGAATTACCTGAATTCTAAAGCACCTTCTAGCTCAT